TCATTTATTTTCTCCAGTTATGATTGTTGCTAATCATGTCCAGTCTGGTTCTGTGTCAGTTTCTGCTCCAGAATTCTCTGGTTCTATCTCTGCTTCTGTCTCTACTCCAGGAACCTCTGGTCCAGTTCCTATATCTACATTTTCCTCTGAACTGGTGTCTGAATTTGAAAATGCTATTCTTGTAATGTCATGTGTATTTGTTTCTATGTGTTATGTGTTTTGTCTGGTCATGGCCGTGTTTGATTTTGGTTGTGTGCTTTCTGTGCTACGTGTAATGAATTTGTGTCTGGATATGCTTTATGTGAATCTGTGCCTAAATATGCTTTATATGAATCTGTGCCTAAATCTGCTTTACCTGGATGTGACTGGTTTATTTGCTAATCTGTTTGTTTTGTTTAACCCAATTTTAAAATTCTTGAATTGTTGTTTTACTGAGTTGTTTGAAAGTTGATGTGCCTTGTTCTGGGTCTCTTGTTTCTATTTAGCTTGTGCAGGTTCATATGGCAATTTCTTTCAGACAAATCAAAAGGAATCTTGCTCTAAGCTATGATGTTTCTTTTTAACGAACAGTCAATGTACTAATTGAGGGAGAGCATACTTATTTGGATTATCTTTATTTGGATTATCCTATTATTCGGATTATCTCATCTGGATTATCATATTATTTTGATCATCATATTATTTGAATTATTTTCTTGGATTATCTTGTTGATGGGATTGATTATTTTACCATCTTCGTGGTGAATTCTATTGTGACATAGGTTGAATATGGAGATTATTGATATGGATGGTAAGCGATGCATGGATGAGCTAGGGATATTACTCATGATAATAGATGATGGATTGGAACCTGTCCCTGCTTTAGATAAGTCGGGCACTCCGTCAGCTCATAGTCCTACCCACTGATGATCACCTTTGGCCCTTATTTGACAAAAAAGGGGGAGTATCAAGTTGAGGGGGAGTATATCTATTTTTGTTTGACAGATCATGTGTTTTATTCATTGTAAGCAAATATACTTAGTGGCTATTTTTGTTAATAAAGATTATCTATCTTTTCTTTTAAAAGCCTACTAGTATATTTGTAAGTATATTTTGTCAACTAATTGCCAAAAGGGGAGATTGTAAGTGTAAAATGTTACACATTTAAAACCCACTTAAGTTGGCTTAAATTAGTTGTCAAAATGGTTAGCTGTTAGGTTCTGGAGTAGTTGTTAGGTTCTGGGGTAGTCTAGTGTCAGTGCCAGGATGCAGTCCAGGATCAGCGCCAAGATGCAATCCAGGAAAGGTGAGGCTTATTCAAACATTTATGTTGGTTAAAACCCTACTTCCATGACTTTTTAAATCAGGAGATGCAGCTTAATTTGAGGAATTGAAGGCTGCATTTTTTCAGACCAAAGAGGTTTCATATCATCACTATAAAATGCTACTTTGTTAAGTATTAAAGTTGAAGATTCAAGGATTCAAAATTCTACATATCATTCCTCAAATCCTCCACTAGTTTTTCTATCAATATATTCGTGTGTTGAAGGTTTCTCAATTGGTTCAAGTTGTGATGAAGATAGTCTGCACGTTAAGTCCATGGTGATGCTGGAGTAGGCGCTGGATCGGAGTAGTGCGCTGCGCTGAAGTACTGTAGTTTATGCTTTAGTATGTAATGTACTCCCCCTTGTACGCCTTGTTGATCATCTAGTGGATTGGGCTGACGTGAGTGGCCCCGCAGACGTAGGAGTGAGGCTCCGAACTACGTGAATATTTCCTAGTGCACGGTTCCATTTATTGCCTTTATATTTAATTTCTTTATTATGTCTGGAGTAGATCCTATACTAGAGCTTCTCCAACTTAATAATTGAATTAAAATTTACTTGGAACCTTTAGGTTATATCTTGTATTCAAGATCCACGAGCCGTTTTCAATGATAATAAATAATTCAAAATATATGATTACAATAGATATTGTTATAATGATATAGTAAAAATTAATGTACAAATTTCTTTAAAAGTTTTCATGCATTGATAAAATTTTGATGTGTAAACTTGTTCAAATTTGAGCGAGTTGGAGTCAACATTGTCAATTCTTTGGAAAATAGTCCTACCGTTTTAGAGTCCATGTGTAATTGTATTTATGATCAACAACTTTGTAGCTAGATCGCGTAGGTCTGACAATGATGTAAGAACAATTTTGTCTGAAAAAAAAAAAAAAAAAACTTTGTAGTATAGTATTTGTAAAGTAATGTACAATTGTACTATTATAAATAATACTGAGTAATATACATATATACAAAAAATATTAATATTATTATGACCTAAATCATTGCAATAATGCAAAACCATAATTGATATATTAAGTTTTGTTCTAAATAATCAAAAGGAGGTTAATTAAACGAAAAGAAAAAACTTAACCTAAATTTTTTTTTTTTTTTTTTTTTTTAAATTGCAAGAAAATCAAATGATTTTTAAAGTTCCTTATTTATAATCTTTAAATGCTAAGTATTTTTTTTTTTTTGAATGCTACTGGTTCTATTACATTACTTTCTCAACCTACTGAAACACAAAGAACCAATAACGCCCTTGTTCATATACTTTCTCAACCTACTGAAACACAAAGAACCAATAGCGCCCTTTCTCAACCTACTAAAACACAAAGAACAAATAACGCCTCCACTAAAGCTCGAACTTATAATCTTCCAAATGAAAGTCCAACCCGGGTACCATTAGACCATATAGTCCTGGTTGAATGCTAAGTATTTAGTCGGGCTAATTATTTGACTAAAGTTTATGTTAAATTTTATAATATATATATTTTTAAAATATTTTATGATATTCGTAGTATATGTTTAATAATTATGCCAATTCGAATTGAGATGAACTTCGAACCTAAGACCTTTTTTTATAAAAATTAATGAGTGAGTTAAGAATAATAAATAGTTAACAGAATATTCCGTTACTCAAGTTTATACTAACGAGATTTTGGGTTATATAATGGAAGAAAATAATATAATAGAGGGTAAATATGGAAAATCATTAGAAAAATACTAAAATTAAAATAATATGGACCATTCATTTTAAGAAACAATTACACTACATTTTTTTTGTTCCAGTTAAAAGCCTAACATTATTGATTCTTATTAGATTTGTAGATTTGTAGATTTGTAGATATACACATAAAAGGAAGTGTGAATTTAATATAATATTCCACCATTAATTGTTTTTTAGTTTATATCGATCTTGTTAAGAGTTGTACAAATTCTGCCATCGCAAACCTCTTAATTCTATTCCTTTTTATTTTCCAAGATGCTTGTCATCAAAGGAAATGACAGCCTTTGGAAGGGAACGCAGAGTTGGGGGATAAATAATTGACTGGATAATTATAAGATTTTAAGTTTAATTTTCATAGAAGCCATCTTAACTATAATAAAGCTATATGGTTTGGGAAGTAATTAATGTTATCATTATTATATTATTATAAATATAAATAAAAAATAAAAAATATATATTTTAAATTGTTTAATATAATAATATTTTTGAACTTTCATTGGTCAAGTATTTATTATTTTTATAGAACACCAAATTACAATTAAAATTAAAATTTTGTATGGTTAATATAATCTCTAATTATGTACATATTCAAATAAAGTTATAAGAGAATTTTCATAATTACATTGATTTATTCTTAGTTGTATTTCATCTATATTTACGAATAATAACTAAGATAATTACATTTAGAAAGCAAATTTCAAATTTTGTAGGAGTAAATTTAAACTCTAATTGAACACATTTTTTATATGATTATATAATATATTCTTTATGCACATGTCATTTCATAAACCCACATGTCATTCTATAAGCCCAAGACCACTTTATTGTGGAGATAATTCAAATGGATTTTTTTTTCTTTTAAAAGTCCTTAAGTTTAGAAATCTAGAAAAACATTAAAGACCCCTACGATATATACATTTATATATTTAAATTTTTATTTATGGCTCAAATGATTTTTTCTTTTTTTAAATTCTGAAGTTCAATAATTGACCCACGGCCCGCAGCATTTGTTTTTTTCATCCCTTCTCGCTTCTACCATTTCTTTGAAGCATTTGAAAAGATAGAAAAGTACACTCTACAATCTCTACAGAAGGTGGTTCCTTAATGTCTGGCTCCATTTTTTCTACCACTTTCCATGATCCTTCTCTTTTGTTTTATATTATTATATTAAACAATTTAAAATATTTTTATTTTTTCTATTTTTTATTTATATTTATAATAACATAATTTTTTCCCATGCATCGCGCGGGTGAATTACTAGTTATATCTAATTGCGCTATTGCTTGTTTGATTTGAGTTCGTCATCTATGAGCAAGTAGCATCTTTTACCGATAAGTATCACGTACAAGGTGTGTCTCAAGCATATATAGCGCATATTCGGATAATTAAATCATAAGAATATTATAATTTGATATTTATATATGTTTCTTGATGGATTACAAGTAAAAGCTAAGCTTAATTGCAAGAAACACTGACTCAACACACCAATTGAATTCGTATTTGATGCATGCGGTGAGATAAGCTGATCAAAATGAGTTATATGAGAAATACTATGATACATTAATGTACTACTTATGTTTCTTTTGAACTGTCATTTGCAATCCTTAGACGAAGCTAAAGGTTGTTATTTATTTTGACAATTCCTATTAATTTGAATGTTTATTCAACTGATAAATTAAGTACTCAGCAACTATGTTGCACGGAAAGTGAAAACGGATTATGAGATACAAAGAAAGTAAACAACATTTTCAAAAAATATAGAAATGCGTTAACATAATACACATAAACGCGTTAACTCCCCCACTAACTTATTAAAACGTCGTCGTTTTGGACCATTGTGCGCCGTGATGAACGATATAATTTAATTTGCCCTTCAATTCCTATCCTCTAGAGTCTAGCTAGATCCATAAACCAAATGCTATATGCATCCGCTGCGGCCTAAACCAGCCTTTCTCCATCCTTTTGCTAGAGTGCAGACCGAAGAGGACAAGACGGTTCGGAAACGATTTGAGAGAAAGACATATAAGCATGAAATTCCATGTCCTTGTCTAAATTGCACATAACCTCTTGTGTCAACCCAATCCACACTTCTACTCCCTCATCTTCTGCATCCATGAAAACAGCCGAGTTCTCTAGTGTATGACCCAGGCCAATCCACATCAGCTTGCCCCACCCAAAATCAACTTGAGAAAATGTAATATTACACAAAATATTACTTATACTAAAAACATTAATCTCATCCGCATTATGAAGTGCCTTGATTAAGTCTGATACGACTCTAAGAAATCCACCCTCCACGTACATTTCCCTCACGTAATCGTCGGTAATCTTATCCATGGCTTCCGCGACTCGTCCTACAAGAAACCCGGCAGTAACACTTTCACCCCCGTCGGCTTCTGATTCCCACCGAGCGGCCACCGCTTGGTAGATGTTGCCTAGGCACTGCGAAGGGAATGGCGGGTTAAACTTCTTTCGCAAGTTCACCATATTTCCCAGCAAATGCGTCTTACGGTTTGGGTTCGCCTGTAGAATTGCCCGTATCACCGCCGCCCATATGAACGCCGACAACGCCTCCACCCGAGACGGAAAGCGGCGGTGCTCGGATGGGTGATAACAATAGTTCCTGAGCCGCTCGATATCCCGCTTGCCAAAATCAAATCTTTTCGTGGAGTACTTTCCGGCCGGTTTCTTGAGGGGAAGGGGATTTTGCGGGGAGCTGACAAAGTTCCCCGGCCTGAAAATTGCGGAGGCGTCCACGATGAGACCGTCGGGATTAATGGGTCCTTCCCCGCGGTTGATTGCCGCCCATGTGTTAAATAATCCGGTCATCGCGCCGCCGTCCGCCAGGCCGTGCCAAATGCAGAACCCCACCGCAGTTCCGCCGCACCGAAACCTGTTCACCTAAACAGCTAACATTGGCTGGGCGGGGTGAATAGCATTTGGGTAGGGATCAAGTGGGAGCAACTGGCGTATATCTTCGAGTTTGGGGTGCCGGAGAAACTCACCCAAATCACAATTTGTAACTTTAGCTCGGACAAAATCCGCACCCTCATCGTTGCATTCGATGGTCGATACATCTTTAATTCTTCCGGCTAGCAGGTACAAGACGGACAGTGTCTTCATGAGCGAATCCTTGAGCTCATCATAATCGTGGCGACGAGGGCCGCCGGCGCGGGAGTCGTAGAAGAAAATAAAGGGATTATAAAAAGTCCCGACAAATATATCAAGGAGGGAAAGCTTGTAGTTTCTATTGTTGGAAAATTAAAGATGAAAGCCTCCATATCCACCTCACCCTTTGACTTTGTCATTGGATTGAGAAATGGAAAACCCATTTCATTGCATGGTAGCGCACATTGCGCTCCCTTGTAAGGAGTAGCGCCAAAGGCGCTGAAATGTGGACAAAATACTGTGTCCATTATATGGGTGGGATGGAGGGGCTGCCTACTATAAATAGCAGCTCCCAACATCGTTTCAAAACACACCTTGAATTCGAGTCATTTAATATATTCTCCTTCTTCCTCCTTTCGTCTGAGCAATAGTGAGGTTCACCTACGTGATTGCTAGTGCAAGCTATCCGTAGTAGGTCTGTGTAGCCTGTCGAAAGCGTGTCAGGGTACTAATTGCACCGTTACCGGGCAAATAACGTTTTTAAGGTAGTGTTATTATAACACGGCACAGATTTTCTTTCTACCATACATCCGTAGTGTCCGTGCTTCTTAAAAGGCTTCCAGATCGTGCGTTGACGTTGCTATTTTCCCCAACAGTTAAACGTGTTATTGTGCAACAGTCAACCTTTAGCATTATGGCACCTTCTGTCATACCGGATCTATCAAAAATCACCGCGCTTGATGGGAAAAATTACAGCAGGTGGGCTCAAAGAATGCTTATTCTTTTTGAACAATTAAAGTTGGTTTACGTGCTATATTCAGTTGCACCTGAACCTTCTCCAACAGTGTTCTCTCCGTTTGGTGCTACAAAATGTAATCATGAACCTGATTACACTCCGGGTGAAGAATCGAGAGAAAGCAGTCCTGAAATAGATTACATTCCGGGTCAAGAACCGGGTGTAACTCTGATTCAATTTAGAAATGACAATACGGCAGCCAGAGGATACCTGCTGTCACAAATGAATGACGATTTGTTCGACATCTATGTCAAACAAGATTCGGCAAAAGTCATTTGGGAATCACTGTCAAAAAAGTACGGTGCCAATGGAACTGAAAGTCAAAGTGTCAGAACCGTCTACAACGAAAGGAGTAGAAAAATAAAGAAGTTTAATGGAAGGTGTTTTACGTGCAGAAAGCAAGGACACCGAGCACACCAGTGCTACAATCACAAGGGCAAAACTAGCAAAAGTCAATCTGACAGAGCAAGATGAGTATTGAGTCTCTTTAAATAAATAGTTATTTTGAGTAATTATGTTTGCTCTAGTTCTAAGGGTTCGCATGAAGTATGGTTATCGTAGTACATGAATTCTAGTTGAGCTGTCTAGATTTTGATTACTTAGCAGTACTTATTTCTTTAGTATTTTGAATACTAATGACATTGATTGAAATAATTCGTGCATAGATATTGCTCAAACTTTTTACTAAAATTATTTGTATAAAAATAAGAGCATATATCATAGGCTTCAATTGTAATTTAGTGAGAACATGGAAAAGTCATCATTCTTGAACACTCTGTCTAGGAAGATGGTTTTTAAGTAAACTTCGGTTTCACCACTCGACCTGGGAGTTTTTAAGAAGTAGGGTGTTGATCATGCAGGCTAGTTAGAGCGCCACTTGATCTTTACCTGAAATGAGGTTGACTTTCATATGTTGCTAATACAATCAAAGCCTTGCAATAGAAGTTGTTGAAGTACTGCAATATTGATCTGCACCCTATGAATGCTTTATATGAGTTTTAAATTCCTTAAGGGAAGGAAAAAATTGTGCTAGTGGCAACTCTGAAGTCTCATTGTTGAGAGATATTCCGAATAAACATGAACTCGAACATATTCCTTGTGTATGAGATTAATTTCTTATAAGAATATGATGTGAAATTTGTGATTATATTGTTCAACTTCATGTAGCATGTGAACAACATTATTTTTATGGCTTAGTAACAATGAGCATTTATATATATATATATATATATATATATATATATATATATATATATATATATATATATATATATATATATATATATATTATTTAAACTCTTGGTTGAGTCATATTGAAATACCTATAATTCCTAGTTAAAGGGTAATTGTGATCAATTGATAACCAAGTTTGTTGAAATATCAACTGTTGAGCATGTATCAGGCAGAGTGCGAAGCTTCTATAATGCTCCACAAAGCAAGTCGGCAAAACTCAGTCTACAAAGGAGCTAATGATAGGCACCAAATATCAGTCTGGGTAAGAGATCAAATACATTTGACAAAAATATTTGCAAGTGTTGCTTTGTGGGGTAATAAACTCCATATATTTTCATCAAAAGTTTCTCTGTGGTATTGAGAATAATGATGAAAGAGAATGTGTCATGTTAAACATGAAAATCTCAAGGGATTATTTACGAGTAAACGAAGTACTCGTCAAAGTGCATGTAAGTTTGGTCAAGAGAATCAACTTACTTGAGGGCTAATTATGAGGATTAGTCGTTGACTCATTGGAAGGACTTAAAGTCCAAGTGGTAATGAATTCGTGGTGGATCCCACTTCTGTGGTCAAACGAAACCATGAAAAGAGTTACAAAATAGTACACTAGTTGGTCATTCCGACAGTGTGTGTACCTGTGAGGTTGAGCTACAGCTCTTAATGAATTCATAACTCTTTGAGAAAGGGTGGTTTTGTTGAGACAAACCTAATGAATTCACCGCATAATGACATGAGTACAAAGTGCTCGTGGTGCCCATAGATACTCTGTAGCCAGTCATGGTGGTCTGCGTTGAGGTAGACTTGACAGAGTTGAAGGTCTATCCTAGAATAGACCTAACAGGGGATATCTCAGGGTCAAGAGTATCACCTCACATATTTTAAAGCGACCAAAGCAAATTAAGTGCGTTAAGTTCAAACTTTGTCTATTCGATGAGTTCAAGATCAAATTCACTCCCGTTTAGAGAAGTACTTAATGTCACTATATGACAGTTCAAGTTTTATACACTGGCATGAAAATTTGTTTTGATCGTTGTCAGGCAATGACAGCATCAGCCTAAGTCCCTTTAATGGTGGGGGATTGTTGGGAGCATTTAAAAGGAAAGGCTTCCTTTTTCCTATCCATGTTGTCCCACATTGGAAGTTTAGCCTCTTATACTCAATTGGGATGGTCTATGTTGAGATAGACCTAAAGAGATCCCTAACTTGAGTGGAAAAGGGCTACCATGGTCTATGGTGAGATAGACCTAAAGAGACCCCTAACTTGAGTAGAAAAGGGCTAACCGCCTCTTATGAAAGATAATGGGGTTATCCCAAGAAGCTGAGTGGCTAAGAAACATGGTGATAACCGTGTAATTGTGGGGTGTCCAACACCTTCCTTCATTGTGATTCACAAACAGTTGTTTGCATTGCAAATAACAGCCTATGATAGAAAGAAAAGACTTACAACTGATTTATGTCTTTAACTACTCTATAAGCCTTTAATGGTGGTCTATACCGAGATAGTTCTGATAGAGTTAAAAGTCTGTATTGAGATGGACTTCACAAGACGGAAAAAATCTATAATGTTGTAAGACTTGTCAGAGTTAAAAGTCTATTTTGTGATAGACTTTGACAGGGTAGAAGTCCATATTTGAGACAAACGTACATTCTTTAATACTAAGGGTGTTCATAAGAAGTCAAAGAGTTTGACTTTTGTAGAACCTGCTTTTTAAGTTGGTATGTGCATTCGAGTTCAAAATTTATCTAACCGGTGAGTTCAAGATTCACATCACTCCCGGGAAGAAAATTACTCAGTGTCACTACGTGTCAGTTCAAACACTGACATTAAGATCAACTCATTTGTATTGCTCAGACCTTACCCTTTTCCTTTCCTCTTTAAATTTGTGGGGGATTGTTGGAAAATTAAAGATGAAAGCCTCCATGTCCACCTCACCCTTTGACTTTGTCATTGGATTGAGAAATGGAAAACCCATTTCATTGCATGGTAGCGCACATTGCGCTCCCTTGTAAGGAGTAGCGCCAAAGGCGCTGAAATGTGGACAAAATACTGTGTCCATTATATGGGTGGGATGGAGGGGCTGCCTACTATAAATAGCAGCTCCCAACATCGTTTCAAAACACACCTTGAATTCGAGTCATTTAATATATTCTCCTTCTTCCTCCTTTCGTCTGAGCAATAGTGAGGTTCGCCTACGCGATTGCTAGTGCAAGCTATCCGTAGTAGGTCTGTGTAGCCTGTCGAAAGCATGTCAGGGTACTAACTGCACTGTTACCGGGCAAATAACGCTTTTAAGGTAGTGTTATTATAACACGGCACAGATTTTCTTTCTACCATACATCCGTAGTGTCCGTGCTTCTTAAAAGGCTTCCAGATCGTGCGTTGATGTTGCTATTTTCCCCAACATCTCAAGGTTTGGGGAGTTGGTGAACATGGTCTCACTTTCTCTTTGTGATAAACTTCAATTTTCAAGGCCATTGGATCGATGAGTACTTTATTTCTGTAACACCCCAATTTTCATATCCAAAATTTCCTTAAATTTTTTTTTCTTAATTTACATTTTACTAAAATCATAGCGGAAGCATTAACTAATCAAAAGAAAATGGGTGTTACCGCCACACTTAGGCAACCAACAACCTAATGCTAAGGCTAAATATTACCAAACAATCTAAACAATAATCCAAAAACTAACTA